CTCTTTTGCTTCTGTTTAATTCTTATTCAGCTATGTTAAATACACAAAAATCTGTTTATAAAGATATTGTATCTATTGAATGACATTTATTAAACAACGCAATATTTCTCCCTCAAGATCACTCCACGCACTTACGCGTCTCTGTGCACGTTTCGCGCCAATTTCGTATCTCTCACCTTCGTATGGTACTTCTATCCCCTGTCTTCCAAACTCCTTGGTATCATAAAAGCACATCAAATATAGCATGTACAGTGAAACTCCACGACTGTTAGAGCCAAATCATCTACGAATGTCCTCAATAATAGATTTCAGTCTGATGTAAAACAGAGACTGAGGACGTGCTGCGTCAAGCATCTTGTAAACATTCAGCCTATATAAACTTGTTGCTCTTGTCCAACCGTTGAAGTAGTATTGAATCACCTGTCGGCGTTTGCGCTCAGCAAAGTCGATCGATGCGAGCGATACGAAACCATTCTTTAATTATTTCGCGCCAACTGGACAGTTTCCATCCAGTTTTAGTCCTAAAGCACGAACATGAGAATGGAGGAATTAAGCGGAATAATTATGAGCAAATTAATTCCAAACCACCAAGTGTTAGCTAGACACTAAAGTAATATTGTGGAGTTTACAGACATACTATAAAGGCTTTAATTGGTAGCGGGCTTACAGACAGATGGAGTTGGGAGGGATAGGGAGAGGGAGAGAGAGAGAGAGAGAGAGAGAGGAGAGAGAGAGAGAGAGAGAGAGAGGGAGGAGAAAGAGAGAGAGGGGAGGAGAAAGAGAGAAAGAGAATGCGGGGGAGGGGAGGATTGAGAGAGGGCGGGAGGTAACGAGAGGGAGAGAAACAGATAGATGGTGTAGGTGGTGGTGGTGATATATATGTGGCCTTGCATCTCTCATTATTTACACTCCATTGTCTCCCATCATCAACCCAACTTTCATCCATCATGTTTTGACATGATGGAAAGAAAATTATATCCGCGAATGATATTACCAATCACATAAAATGGCTGCAGATCCAACGAGATTAATAATGCATCTGTTATCATTTGAGAGAGGCTAGATCACAGTATGAATGGACAGGAATTAATTAAAAGTATCCCATTGTCATGATGGTTGACAATGTAGATAACGTTGTCTTTTGAGCATGTTGAGTAAAATAGCCCCACCTACGATTAAAATCTTGTACGAGGAAATTAAACTTTTCCTGCTGGCTGCCTTGAAGTTAATTAAGTTTGTATGTGCCCTTCCTTTATTTTGTTTCTTTTCCTCATTCTATATATTTATTCTTTAATCAATCCCTCTCACCTTTTAATTTTACATTAAAGCCTTTGTTACGATTTACACCTTACATCTCTTCGCCCGAGCCTACCCCTCTCTTTCTCTCTCTCTCTCCCTCTCTCTCTCTCTCTCTCTCTTTTACCCCTCTTTTTCCTTTCGCTCTCTCCCGTTTCTGTCTCTCCCCCACTATCTCCCTCCTTATTGGTATGAGCCCGATGTCTCTGTCCCTTCCTTTTCTTTCCCAGTTCTTTACCCCCTCCCCCTCCTCCCTCTCTCTCTTTCCCCCTCTCTCTCTCTCTCTCTCACTCCCTCCCTCTTTCTCTCTCTCTTTCTCTCTCTCTCCCTCCCCCCTCTCTCTCTCTCTCTCTCCCTCTCTACCTCTCTACCTATCTATCTCTCTCTCCCTCTCTCTCTCTCTCTCTCTCTCTCTCTCTCTCTCAGGAACCGTGCTCGCACAATACATTTGTGTTCTCCATTGTCTTAGTTAACTTACATGTACTACGTACCAAACATTATCGCAATATAGAACATTACACGTTATTATATCGATTTTATTTCAAACTTTTTAAAAATAAAACAAAATTCGTGAAATATCCTTTTCTCGTAAAATAAAAGTGTTCTAATAGTGCTACTATACAACAAATGGTCGGATATCTATTTCGGATTCTTTGAAAGTAAAATTTACTTTCAAAGAATCCGATTATAGCAATTTAATTGCTATATACATGTACATGCTTTAAAGTTATGCACTTAATATAATATTGAACAAATACGTTGAAATAGATCACCAAGAAATTAGTCTCTGATATCTCTTTCTAGCAAAATCAACGAAGTCATGTACGAATCTGTTCCATTGCATAATCATTCTCGCGACAAAGATACATTTCATACTTAGTGTTTTTATATAGCGAATCAGAAAAGTACATCTATTTTTTCATCAAACTACCTCATGTATTGTCAAAGTTGCTTCCTCGCCAATACAAAATGTAAAGTCACACACAAAAACAAAAATTTACAAAACACACTTTCATCAGGGGTCGCAATTGACATCGCAGCGTTGCCAATTTGAAATAATTGCACGAGTAAGGATATTGATTAGAAATAGATTTTGGTTCCTTAAAATCTTATAATGGAGTCAAGGTTGCTGTAACTACGACAGTGTTGTTATGCTGTAACATTATATTCATTAAATTGTTTGTTGAACTACCCCTTTAACATTGTGATCAAATCGATTCTCCGATACATTTCTTTGAAGAGCAACCTTTTTTAAAACGGGAAATGCAGCATCCTGCTAACTTCCGATGACATAGCAATATTATATCCGGAGATATTAAACAGATAAATATATGTTTAATTCTAGTTTCAATTTCGACACGAACATTCAATATTAGTGGGACCACTACTCGTGTGATTAATAAAAAGAATTACCGTACGACGCTTAATCACAGTTAAGCCCACACTTAGTATAATTATGATGTTATATGTTATCATAAGAAAAGAAGAAGAAGAAGAAGAAGAAGACGACGAAGAAGAGAAGAAGAAGAGAATAAGAATAGAAGAAGAGAAGAAGAGAAGAAGAGGAAAAAGAAGAAAAAGAAGAACAAGAAGAAGAACAAGAAGAAGAAGAAGAAGAAGAAGAAGGAGAAATAGAAGAAGAAGAAGAAGAAGAAGAAGAACAAGAAGAAGAAGAAGAAGAAGAGAAGAAGAAGAAGGAGAAGAAGAAGAAGAAGAAGAAGAAGAAGAAGAGAAGAAGGAGAAGAAGAAGAAGAAGAAGAAGAAGAAGAAGAAGAAGAAGAAGAAGAAGAAGAAGAAGAACAAGAAGAAGAAGAAGAAGAAGAAGAAGGAGAAATAGAAGAAAAAGAAGAACAAGAAGAAGAACAAGAAGAAGAAGAAGAAGAAGAAGAAGAAGAAGAAGAAGAAGAAGAAGAAGAAGAGAAGAAGAAGAAGGAGAAGAAGAAGAAGAAGAAGAAGAAGAAGAAGAGAAGAAGGAGAAGAAGAAGAAGAAGAAGAAGAAGAAGAAGAAGAAGAAGAAGGAGAAATAAGAAGAAGAAGAAGAAGAAGAAGAAGAAGAAGAAGAAGAAGAAGAAGAAGAAGAGAAGAAGAAGAAGGAGAAGAAGAAGAGAAGAAGAAGAAGAAGAAGAAGAAGAAGAAGAAGAAGAAGAAGAACAAGAAGAAGAACAAGAAGAAGAAGAAGAAGAAGAAGAAGAAGGAGAAATAGAAGAAAAAGAAGAACAAGAAGAAGAACAAGAAGAAGAAGAAGAAGAAGAAGAAGAAGAAGAAGAAGAAGAAGAAGAAGAAGAGAAGAAGAAGAAGGAGAAGAAGAAGAAGAAGAAGAAGAAGAAGAAGAAGAGAAGAAGGAGAAGAAGAAGAAGAAGAAGAAGAAGAAGAAGAAGAAGAAGGAGAAATAGAAGAAGAAGAAGAAGAAGAAGAAGAAGAAGAAGAAGAAGAAGAAGAAGAAGAGAGAAGAAGAAGGAGAAGAAGAAGAAGAAGAAGAAGAAGAAGAAGAAGAAGAAGAAGAAGAAGAAGAATGAGGAGAATGAGAAGAAGAAAGAATGAATTACAGAAAGAGTAATAAAAAAGGTACGCTTTAAATAAAACAAAATATAGATCTAAAATCAGCGACCTAGATTAAGATGTACAAGAAAAATACCCGTTTCCCGAAATACCACGAGTACATAGCATTTACTAACACTCCACACTACAGTTATATTGAACATTTCATACAATAGAACCAAAAGTTTAAAGAATAACCACTTCACAGATATTTAGAATGTCAAGAGCTCTCTTTACATTCCTTTCGTGAGGAGATGAAGTTTGATATTTGTTTGATGTTTGATATATATTCCACAAGGGTCATATAAGTGAGCACCATATCAATTTCAAAAAGCAACAATAGCTCAATTTTACAGGTTTATGAACTCCTATATATATACATGTCAAGATGGATTATCATAAATGTATCATCCATCGTCACGAGACGCACTTCAAAACTGCTATGTAAACTATGAACAATTTATGAAGGAAAGTATCTTACAAGGAAACATATCAGACATGCATAACTAACTTTCAACATACATTATAGCCAGCCTACTTGTAACGTAAACTATTTCGCCGGCAATATTTAAAAACAGGAAAACACACGGATAAATAGAAAATATGTGAGAATGTGCTGAATTTGAGTTAAATAAGGGTGATATAGTGGGAATGCTCAAGTGAACTTATTAATTCATTTACGAACATTCTTAAACTGTTTTATTCAATATTTTAGCGGCTACATGATGTGAAGATATCATTTATATGCATACAATTTTGACCGTGCTCGATGGGCACCGTTATATTACGCCTTAAAGAGAGTTAAAGGCACTTCTCCATCGACAAGTTCTTAGGGCTTTATTTCGTTTGATTTGATTTGATTTATTCTGCATTCTATATATAATTTTAGGGTAACTCAACAAACCTAAAGTGCAAAAGGGTACTTTCTGACAATGAATCATAAATAAGCAAATGTACATAATTAGTACAGTAAAAAGAAAAACATATATAATTAGTGTCAAAGTATCATATTTCATCAAGCTTTATACAATTATTAACGGAAGAAGGACTGCCATTGAAAGTAAAATGCTTGAAATAATATGACAGCCCCAAATAAACTATTAAGCAGAAAGGGCAAATATGGGTGAAATATAAGGATAGTGATGATGACGTTAATTATGATGGTCATGATGATGATGATGATGGTGATGGTGATGATGATGACAACTGTAATGAAGGAAATACATACAGGGGTGTAAAACTATTATGACAAAGACTGAAAGTTGAACACAAACTTATTTCGTTGACTGTATAGTCGGATGGTCGTAATTTAGGTAGTGTGGAAAATTACTCAAGTGCAATAATTGACCAAGGAGCAAGTGTCACCCAAATGCATTCAACCCAAGCAAACATTTATGACTCTTACTATCCGTACAGTTCATTATCAATTAAGTTAGTTGGCACATCGTGGAACTCCGTGTTCGCATAGAGGTCTATCGCCCCGTCCACCGGAACCTCACCCGGTATTCCCCCTGATCCGTTCAACGCACTATCCGCAGACGGTAACCGAACCGATTCATATCCGAAGGCATCTCTGGTAATTCCCGGTCTGTCCATCGCTCCGGGATACGTTGGCGGTTGCCTTTCGTTGTCGTCCACGTAATTGTTTTCTCCGGCGGTTTGCGAGTGGGCGGTCAGGTCGGCTAGTACGAAGAGGTCTCCTTCTCCATCTCCCCTCGGCATCAGAGGACTACCTCCCCCGTTGCCATGGTTACTAGATGCCTGCCCGATGCCAGGAGTAGTAGGATCTAGACATTCAGCTTTCCTGAGATTTCCCCCGCGGAGAGAGAAAAACCCGATAAATCCACGGTTATGACAAAGAAATTCAGCAGGTCGTGATATAAGATGGATTTATTTGAAAAATTTTAATTATTATCCATCAGTGGTTAAATGCACTAATATTCCTATTGTTAGTATTCTTATCATTATTTAAAACCTAAATCGGGAAAAAGATGTTTGTTTAGGTTTCCATATATAATTTACATGTAATTTCCATTTGTTCGAAATTCAGATCGCGGGATGATCGTGTTGGATTGATACACGTGCATGACAAGAAACTTAATACAATGAAAGCATTGGCAGTAATATTATACGATTAAACCTATGGTAGTATTAACCTTTCGACAGCGAACATAAACATTATTCTTAGAACCGGATTGTATTTTCCAAAATCAACCAAGGCTCTTCCTGTGGTAATTTGAAGAGGGAAAAAAAAACCTCTTTCATTTACATCCCGGTATTCTGTCCTATGTTATTAGAGTTTCACTTTCTGCACTGGCGTGGCCAAACAAGTCGAACATGGTGGAGGGGGGGGGGGGGGAATCGGAGGCCGCACAGACGAGGTTGACACACAAAGCCGCCATAGAGTATACTGGGGTAAGGCTAGGTCAATTAGTTCGGTGGCTGAGGTTTTGTTTCCTCCTTCTTCTTCTTCTTCCTTCTTCTTCCTCTTCTTCTCCTTCTTCTTCTTCAGTTCTTATTTTTATTCTTTACCGGATGAGTATGGGGACATAGCTCCTCCGTGCATCCCCCCAAAAAAAAGTCTAGGCCTATGCTTTTTGGTACATTATATTGTGTTATCGTTGCACTCGATGAAACCGTTGTCATAATACAGTTAACGGCGGAAATTGACATTGTAATGTGAAACCTAATAAAGGCTTAATACAAGAGTGATGAATGTTTCTACACCGGTATATCAAAAGACAGACTTGATTTCTGCATTGTATGGTCGCATTTACCATTTGAATAGACAGACTCAGTGGATGATTTTGGTATTTTTGTAAAAAAATGGGGGGGGGGGGGGCACGAATTCAAACAAAATTCTGACAACCATAAAAATCATTTTTAAACCAAATTTCTTCAGGTAATGGTTAACAAACAAAAGAATCTAGCAAAATCACAAGCAAAAATGAAATTACTTGCCTTTTGGATCGGAAATGTGAAAAGGAAAGATTTTGTGTGTGTGAAGAAAAGGCATGCAACATTAGGATAAAAGAGAGCACGGAACTATTATTTTACTCCAAGCTAAAGGTAATGATAACTTTATCTAGTTAAGGTAGGCTATAATTGGCCACGGTGCAAATCAGCATATCATGAGGCGTACAGACGTCTACAGCATTAAAAGCCTATTATCAGACATCATAATAAAATAGGCTTCACCTTTTACGTCTTTTGCGAATAACGACCACGACAATCATGGCGATAGTGATGAGGAGGAGGCCAGAGACGATGCCAATACTGCTATATATTATGATAACCTGATGACCTAGGGGAAAAAAGGGGGAGTTTTTATGAGTGTTGTACAATTTGTTTGTATTTCAGAGTACATGGAAGGAAGACTTACAGGAATTTCCGTACTATCTAGCCCGTATGAGTCACAAGAACTTTCTAAATGGTAATTGGTTACCACTGCTATAGCCTTTTGACAAGGCCTCGTGACTCGGGCTATTTTCCACGCCAATCAGCGACTGAGAAGAGTCTAGCCGGCGACGAAGAGAGATCTAGACCCGGAGTGAACGCTCGATCGAGTGGCGTTAGCCACGAGACGCCACTCGCTGCAGATGGCGTTCACTCGGGTTTTCGCGATTAGTCTCTTTTAAGTCCCTCGGCGTCAAATATCAATATCATTTTCAGACACAAGGCCTTGTCTATTAAAGGCTACCACTGCTATATCCCAGAGTTATTTTGAATACCAGTGAAGTTGCTAGGAGCCGCCCCCCCCCCCCCCCCCCCCCCCCACGAATTGCAGGGGGACAAGAAAAACGAAGGTAAGATAAATGAAAAGAAAATGTGAACAAAAAACCTGTGCAAAAAAATGTATACAATCCCACACATGCCCTTCCCTTGAGGGTTATTTATTTTTGGCATTTTACCCACCGCTAAAATATTTGCATACAACTATTTCATTTGTATCCATTTTAACATGATCCTGCAGGAATGATGACGTAATGAGAATTCAGTTACCACTCTGCTGCTCTGACCCAGTCGTGTCACTTGTCTGCCCCTTGGAAGTCGCAGAAGAGGGTGTTGTCGAACTGAATCCTGAATATTAAGGTGAATAAACTAGCATAGCCCACTGAACATATTAGTGGTCGGTGTGTGCATCTGTGTCTTATTGCGAAACATTTTCATGAGTAAAATTGACAATTTTGGAGACAAGGCCCGTTCCTTTCTAGTTTTACACTGTTTTATATAGGCCTACTTGTATAAACAGATATCAAACCGAGTATATAGACTCATATAGTATGCCTTTATGATATGTGGTATTTGAGGCTATCATGAAATACAGGTGTATTAATCATTTTCATTTTTCGTTTTTCTTTTCACTTTTTATGACAATATCTTTAGTAATCGCCGAAATATTTGCATGCAACAATTTCATTTGCATCCATTTTTATCACAATCGTACAGTGACTGTGACGTAATGAGAATTTACTTACCACTCTGCTGGTCTGGGCCAGTTTTCCCACTGAATTGTATTTGGTTAGTTTGCCCTCCGCCCTTGGTAGTCGCAGAAGACGGTGTAGTTGAACTGAATCCTGAACACCATGGAAAATAACCATGATGCAAGGGTAAGTAAAGATTTTTATAATTATAATACATATAGGCCTATTGTCCAATACGAAACACGGACTGAAACTTATTTTTTCACCAGCAGTTTTTAAGATTTCTTGACTTGGTTATTGCTTTGAATTGTATATTCGATATATTGTCCTGTTTCATCTCTTTCGTTATCCTCTAAAGCGTATAGGGACTGAATAGTGATGAGCGCTATATACAAAGGTTGTTTTGATTAATGATTGACAAATGATGTCACAAGATGAATAAGATCTGGAGCAGTTTTTAGGGTGAAGCTCTAAAAGCAGGTCCGAGATTATTTTTTTGTTTAATATTTGAAAATCTAAGAAATATATTTAGATGTTTGAATAAACATAAATGAGTTGTATGCAGCCCTGGTATAAACTTATATTTGGATTTCACCCGATTTTTAAACTGCGATGTCCGTTTCTAGAAGTTATATTTAAAGCTCATATTTAAAAAAAACAGTTAACGGCATGTAACTTCTTGTGTGAAAAAGTGACCTATTAGAGAGGCATACCTCCGTATGTCTTCATATATGAGTACCCCCCCCCCCCATCGGGTATGGAACACCTCCCATCAAGAGCAAAACATGTTCTGATGATCGCAAATGAACACTTTAAAAGTCACTTCTAGATTAAACAGAATCTATACCCTCATGGTAATTGACATACAAACCTTTTGCGAAACAAAATATTATTTAAATAAAAATGATAACTTGCCTGTACATTTTGGAAGACTTTGGTTCCACATAACGGCATGGGTGCTGTTAGCAATACTAACATCGTCTCTGCGACCGAACATCTGCACGCACTGGATGACGTCAGGTCCTTCGAGTGTGAACTCATCGGAGCAGTTAAAATATATCTTGCTGCCGTAACGCAGAGAGCCGGTTTCATTGTACCTGAATCCGTTTTGAGGGGTACCAGGGTCTTCGCAGACACCTAGGCCAACTTAGAAACACAAATTGGAATGACACCGAATAATGTCATATTTCGAGACTTTTGAACAATATGACATGTACGACAACTAGACGAGAATGAATAAGCTCAATAACTTTTATTAGCGAAAATCGAATTTTCATTTCATAAAGTCATTCAGTGGCAAGGAGTTCAAGGGTACATTAATCAATATAAATCATAAATAATAGTGTAGGTTTTTGCAGGCAGTGGTGTTCGAAATTTAAGAAAATTAATGGAGATGTGATTGTTTCCTTTAAATGATAGTTATGCATTGTTAACAACGGTATTTCCAGGATTCTTAACTAACTTGTCAAAGCCTAGTAATCAGCTTTAGCAGTGTGTTTAGATTTGTTTTTTTGTTAGCAAACACAAAATTGCGAGAAATATGAAACGTAAATGAATGCATGAACCTGCAACCACCTCAATCCCCGTATGTCCCTCCCCAAGAGTGCCCCACATCAATTTTTTTTTCACTCCTGCCTTTACCTTGGTAGATGCCGATAAAATCTGAGTACCCACATGATTCAAGGCGATCTCCAGCACAAACACCTTTACATTCTCCATCCGAAGCGTTTCCATGTTTGACAAGGTTTTCATCTTGTCCTCCGCAGAAACATTGGTCCTCGTCTTCTACACCTGCGTAGAAGTATCCGTCCTCTTTGCATGCTTTGATGCACAGGTCAATCGTGAGAATATAGTCATATTCGCGGGGACCATCGGAGAGCACACGATCTCTGCCAGGTCCTAAACGGTCATAATCACTGAAACATCCAAGATAACCTGGTTCTGAATTAAAGGGATTTTTTTTTTGGGGGGGGGGGGGGAGAAAGAAGAGAGAGTTTATCAAAAATTAAAGAAACATCGTGTGATCTTTCAGATTTATCTTGAATCGTACATTTAGCATTGAAGTCATTACCTTAGCACCATTTTCTCCCATATGAACAACGTTACCAATTCCCTTTAAGTAAAAGGTCATACACCGAGGTTAGGACATACATGGTAACAGCAATATAATGGCCAGCAAGGACAATGGAAGTAAAAGATACCTTATTTATCTGAGTATAAGAACGACACAATACAAATTCACTTTCTCTAATATTTAGTTTCAAGGAATGTGATTATAATAAATTATAATATAATAAATAATGAACATCATGTACAGAAGCTTCAAGATGATGAATGGAGCTGGCTGCTTTGCTTTGGTTAGTTTAGAACGATGTGATTATTTAGATATCATCTGCATAAATGTGATATCGAAAAAAAGTGGTGTTGAAGAATGCTTTTCAGACCAATTAAATGAAGTAAGAACAGGATGATCCCTGTTGAACTCCGCATATCAGAGGCTAAACAGAATGTGAAGTATAACTATTCATTAAGACAGACAGCCATCTACATGTGAACATTCGTATTACATTCCGTCACTATGTATTAACCAGTGCCAAGAATAATCATGTGGACAACAAATATTTTGAAAATCAGCGCCAACAAGAATATAAGCATACATGCACATTAAACAGTGGACTAGAAATGATAAGCGAACATCGCAACAGTGTTACCTTTGCAAGAAACAGCTCCTGTCCATACATTGATACATTCAGTGATGAACGTTTCACATTGCATATTCGGCCCATCTGAAAAAAGAGTAATTACATTCCTTCAAATAAATATTTTTTTCCATCTGTACTTTTATTGGTTAATATAGGATTCCAAGTATTGTTATTATCATTATTATTATTACTATTATTATTATTATGGTTGTTATATATATTGCCAAAATATATAACCTCGGTAAGGATAGTCGATCTGATTTGGGATATACTTGTAATGATCTGGTGTAGCTTAAGAATAAATTTCAGTTTCGGTACGTCATGCGATCGCATTGAGGAAGAAACTGTGTAGAATCGAATGGAAAGGTTGATCATGCAGCACATAAGTATTTATGTATACTTTAAGGTTTTGGAATGATCAAACTGATGAGAAATTGGCCCAGTCTTGCTAAAAGGACCAAGCGCGGATCCAGGATTTCTTAGGGGGGCCGAATTTGAAGTTATGCGAGCCAAATATTGATACTTAATGGTGACCAGCAGTGGCGTAATGATAAAAAACGTTTGGGGGAGAGAAAAAAATCCGCATCACCCCTCTCTTACTGATCGTTTTTCAAAGTATATGGGGGAAGCTGAAGTATTTACGATCAGGTAGAGCGTAGCGTAAATTGGCGCGGGGTCAAGGGGCAAGCCGGAAGCTCAGGGGGTAGGGCATTTAATTACGGTCAGATGAGCATATTTTTATTATTATTATATTATTTATCATTGTTATTATCATTATCATCATCATTGTTGTTGTTGTTGTTGTTATGCGATCTATTTTTCAATTTGTCCTGCACAGGTTTAATATTACACTTACTAATTGAACACCTTGTAAAATATGTTGATATATTATTAGTGACCGACATCGGCCACTCATCTCTATTGTCATTGAACTGAACTGCTGTAAGATGTCGAGAAGTTCCTGGGAAGTTTAGGTGACGACAAGCTATGCTTGCTAGTTCGAAGTTGAAATCCGTTTTACAGACGAGCCCCCATCCGATGTCCTGGTTGAAAACCTCAACGATGCCGGCATTTGGTCGATCTTTGGTGATCAATCTGTAATCTGCAAAAGTTATTTAAATCATTCTATTTATAGAGGAGGTTGTTTGTCGAGTGTCGTAGTTGAGTGGTTTATGCAATCGACTTGAAATTCAAAGGTCGTGGTTCGATCTCCGATACGGCACTAATGTCCTTTGGCAAGGCATTAATCTTCTTTTGTCACACTCGACCCAGGTGGGGTAAATGGATATACCTAGCAGGAATTAATTCCTTGAAATGCTATTCGTGAAATGGCAGCTTGGCTAAAGCCGGGGTAATAATAAATGCGCCTCGGAATTGAATGTCTAGACGGCGTTATATAAATGTCTATAAATAATATTATTATTATAAATGATTATTCGCTCTTTTTTATAATAATCATAATATTAATAATGATAATAATCCTACTAATAATAATTATATCTACATTTATATTGCGAACGTATCCTTCCTAGGGGATGCTCAAACCATACTCAAACTAACAAACTAACAAACAAGTATTATTGCCCTGGCTTTAGCTCAGCCGCCCTAAGGCGCTGAAATCATTTAAGGCATATATTACTACCAGGTACCTATTTACCTCACCTGGGTGGAGATTGGCAAAAAAGATTAATATCGTGACAAAGGTCATTTGTGCCGCAGGGGTTCCCGAACCTCGAACCATATAATCCACAGTCCGGTGACGTATCCTCAAGACAATGACACCTCTACATCTATCCCACATATTTAAAGGAATGGTGATTTCCAACCATCTCTTACGAGAGGTCCCGGGTTCGATACTTGTTTGGATATTACATCCTTAGTGTTATGTTACCTCATTCCATCTCGACCCAGGTGTATCAAATTGGTACCTATTAATGCTGGGGTATTAATGATTGCAAAGCCCCCAGGGAGAACAGTATTAATACTGAAGAGGCCATCACTGGGTAGTATGTATTGAATTAGCTATTAACAAGATCGTATTTGGTACGAGGTGGCATCCGTTGTTTTAACTACATTTCGCAACAATTCCAGATGATGGTTTTCCTGATATCGATAAGTCTAATATTCACTCATGTCTGTGATTTCTAAGAATTCATCAATGTGAACAATATCCTTAAAAGGAGATTAAAATAATGGTTACAATATCCAACATCCAACATCAATTTAAATTTGTTGTTTTAACAAGGACAAAAATAATAATATCTAACGATAATAATGATAATAATGACAATGATAATGATATTAATGATAATAAAAAAAAATAATGCAATTTATAACAATTATGATAATAAGATTTATAAAGTAATAACGATAATAGGAGTAATAATAATTATGATAAAGAATTAAAGATTCCTAATTTATAAGACACCAAATCCACTTAAAATCAGATGTTCTAGGCGAAGTAGTACAAAAGATAAATCACATGAATAGCCTCTCCAACGTAACGCAAAAGAACAACAAAAGTAAGATATAACATACAAAATGAAAGAAAACAATATGCCAAATCCCCCAAAACAAATATCGACCATGGCGGTGACCCCAGGGAGACTCGGTGACACGTGTCCTCCCTCCCCCCCCCCCTCCCCGCCAAGAACTGTGAACAAATACATCAACAATTCTAGCATTATGATGAGTAAGGGCTAAAACATTTGTTTAGATTCCGAAGCGATAATGGAATGTTACACTATTCAAAAGATACCGGAGAATTTTCTGGCTCGGGCACTGTGCTCTCTCGCATGATGATCATAACTGTACAACGCTATGGTTTATTTATTTTTTTATATATATATCGGAGGTCGCTTTTGCCGCCCCACCCCCCCCCCCCCCCCCCCCCCCCCTCGGCCATAACAAGAAATTGCCGCCCCTGAAATCCAACAGAATGATATTTCCCTGCCTGATATGCCTAGCTACATTGTAGCCTAGGCATTTTTTCCGCCTCAAGTAAACTTCCATTTTCGGTTTAACTTAATAAAATTTGGAGTGGACTTCAAAAGATTATTATTATTATTATTATTATAGGAGTAAGGCAAATTTGTAGAATTGTATTGACTCTTTGACCCCCTCTCGGGGTATGAGAGTACAAACAAACATAAACGTATAATAGCAATGCATGACTTGTGAATACAATTCTTATACATTATACACGCATGTAGATGATGACACAAAGATACAAACGATAATAATAATAATAATAACATTATTGCTTATATAGCGCTTAATACGTCGGGAATATCCGAGTTTCTAAGCGCTTTACATTATTACCCCCGGTCATCGGATTCTGGCTTGCCCGCACACAATGTATGCACTTTCTCCACTCCCTGGGGAGCATTCCAACAAGAGCTACTAGGCTCAAATTGCTAAGCATACCACATTGGCGTTCGCATCCTACCGGGTACCCATTTAACACCTGGGTGGAGTGTGGCAAATGTAGATCAATGTCTTGCCAAAGGACATTAGTGCCGCGGCGGTACTCGAACCGCGGACCTTGTGATCGTCAGTCCGGTGACGTATCCACTCGACCACAACACCTCTACGATAATAGGTATATAGTGTATGAAAGTACAAACATGAACAATGAACCAAACTAGTAAACACAAAGTATATTTACATGTACACTATAGATAGTGACAATAATAAAATGTAAAGGTATAATGCAGTCTATTTACAAGCTAAGTAGTAAACCTCTCTCTCTCTCACCTTGAGAAAAAAAAAGAAAACTAAATATTTTCTTCAATACAAAGCATTGAAGATTTACACACCAAAAAGAGAGAGCATGCAATAGACCTGTACCGAGCAATGTACGCATCCCTATACTTCCTCAATTCAGCATCCAATGTTATACCAATGAATACAGTCCTTTATGCTTTGCTGTATATGCTACAAATTAATATAATTCGATCTGCGAGAAAAAAAAACACGTTTTGTACAAACTTACCTGAAATAGTATAGATCGCCAAACAGGGACTGCTTATAACAATAAACAGTAAAGACAGGGTTGAATACATGTTTTCAGCCATATTTCGACGTATACATGTATGCCGGAGTTGACTTCCTATACGGACAATGAGTGTCTGTTTCCAACCGGTCATCGTGAGTGTAGAACCTGCTTTAGAAGAGGAAGTTCTTGAAACATAATATTTCAATGAACACGCAGTGTTATACGTCATCCAATGTGTTTCACATAAATTCATTTGTAGAATATTGTTTTTCTTTAAAAAAATTCGTGGATTAATCCTACGTATTGTTTTGTATTCATTGGGAAACGGTATTGGATACTTTAATCAAATTAAACATCCGTGTTTAAAAAGAGGAAAGTATAAAGACCCGTGAAATGGGCCACTTGTGCAACGTAATCGAATCAAATGCATTCGTCTTTGATAACTGCGTCTTTACATACTTAACCTTACGTCAATTCTTTCAGTTCATGTCCATATTTTTGTAATTGTGGTTCATTCAATATTATATGAAGTAGAGTTACATTATGAAATTTCTCAAATTTCGTTTCTGTTATTTTATGCACTTTGAGCATTTCTTGGGGTTGACTTTTCCTGATGGACTTTTTTTTATTTGCCCTGAAATAAGACTAGGATGAAACATGATCAAATATTGCTGTCTACTACAGCCTCTTCGTCTGATGAATGTAGGTATCCATGAAGTTCAAGTGGAACCCACTCCAGCTGTCTATTGCATCACCTAAAGCACCAATAATACTCCTTTCTCGCACACCAAAAATGAGTGGTCTAGTAAATAACAATGATCCCAGATAACTATTTCTCCACCATGCCACCATCTTTGATACAGTCTGAAGGGACTTCCCCTGGTTTCCTGGAGCGCCATCTCTTGTTA